TTTCCACTGAAACCCGTGGTCCAACAAAGCTTGTGCCCACACACACACATATATACATATGTATATATGTACGTATACATATATATATATATACATATGTATACATATATATATATATATACACATATGTATGTATATCTCTCTCTCTCTCTCTCGTATAGTGCAACCTGCAGCCTGCTATTGCGTCACCAGGTCGTTCAATGTTTCCTGAGCGGTGATCCAAGCATAGCGTGATGTTATTCTGGCTGTTGGTTGCGATCTGAACATGTGTCGTTCACCGTCTTGTCTCACCTTGTGCTAAGGTGTTCGGCCACGTTTAATGAGGTTAATCTTGGTTTCAGCATGCGCCACCTTTCAACACTTTGTGTGTCTAATGTTGTTAGACTAATGCTGCTGTGTGTTAATTTGTCACCAGCCACATGTTTACGCTGTTATCATTGTGTGTTGTTGTTTCATTCTTGTCGCTTTCTGGGTGGGGGTGGTTTGCATTTCGTTTCCCATTGTAAACGGTTTTGCTTGAGGATGCAATGCTGGAATTTGTGCTGTTCATATTTTGCTTGTGTTTTCGGTGTGCGTCGGTTTGGAGGTAGTTGTTTGCTCGCTGTTTGTAAAGGCTGCTGTGGCCATGTCTACTTCGTCAACGCTGGCCGGTAGATGCATCAAATCAGAAACGACATTAGCTGCGAGACTATAGAGGAACTAAGCAGATAGTTGCACATGAATGTGCAACGAAATTTGTACGCATAGACTGACATATGTATATACATTTTTTTCATTTGTGTGTGTACATGCGCACACTTGAGGCCGCTGCGTCTGTGCGAACAGCCTCGCCGACGCGGGTCATCCAGTCACCGCCCATGGTCGGCGGCTTCGTGTCTTGGCTCAGAAACTCCAAGGGTTTGGGCTCTTCGAGCCAGGATGAGAACTGATAGACCCACGGCACGACATTGTCGGCTTGGCTTGCACTGGTTTTTGGCGTAGAGAGTCAGTCTTGTAAGCGTGGCGGCAGGCAATTCAGGATCCTTCCTCACAGTTCAGCTTTGCTCCACCGCCTCGAGCAATTTTGGCTCCTTGGGTCATCTGCACTCCTCCCGGCTGTTCGAATCATGGCGCGAGCAGTGGCTGTGGCCATGGCACTTATGACCCTCTTCTCCGTCCTCGCCTTTGTCCCCACACCCGAGCCACAGGCCCGACAGGCCCTGCGCAGCAGACCGGCAAGGGCAGCGGCACCAGCATCGAAGCTCCGGAAACTCCGGGAGCTGCCTTCCCCGGCCTTAGGGCTCCTGTTCTCCTGCGCTTTCTGTGCCTTGTTGCTTGGGGCTGCTCAGGCTGGCGCAAGCTCAAGGCCGGGCCTGGGGCAGGACTTCGTCACGGATCCCCCGGTGCCCCGTGCGGTGCTTCAGGAGAGGCGGATGACGAAGGTGAGGCTTTCGCAAGCCCCGAGTAGGATGGAGATCGCAGAGAAAGTCCGGCGACAGGAGTTGGAGTACATGCAGTCCACATATGTCCCGGGTGGACCCAAGCCTGTCCGAATTGTGGCCATGTGAGGCATGGCATAGCTTGGATGTTTCGGGCAGTGTTACTGTCTCCGATAGAGTTTCCACACCATTGGCCGAAGTGGTCGCAAGCTGGGCAGAGCACTGTCTTGGAGTTCCATACTTCTGACACTAACTAAGGGGAGTCAAGAGGCCGTCATGAACCGGCTCTGCCTGGCATAATGTTTGTTGATCCAGTTGTTCCTGAAGTTCCCTGGACCGGAATCCTGCTATTCCGAGCGACGTTTCCTTTCTTTTTTGAATCAGGATAGGCCGTCCTTCAAGGGCCGAAGTATCGGTGCCAGACCGTTGGCATCCAGGCACACCGTGGCCTAGTTTTGCAAATTGCCTACGAATGCACGTTGGTTCTGTTCCCGTCGCCAAGGCGCCGACTCAGGAAGAAAGACCCTAGAGCCTCCACGGCATCGCTTTGCAGCGGCCGACGAAAATTTGATACAACCATGGCCTCCATGTGGATGAGACTTGGGTGATAGTGGCCTGTCCACAGGTAGCTGTAAGCGAGCATGACCGTGGGCTACCAGTGGCATCATTGAGCGGTGAGGGCTTGCATTCCTTGGTGCCTAAACCTTGAAAACAAATTCAGAGACAGAGGAGAGAGAGTGAGCCGCTTCTACAGCCCTACAATAACCTATTCTCTCTGGGAGGTTCAAGTGACATCTCTGTTCCTTCGAAGCGAAAAGCCTCGGCCGGGAGAGTCCCAGTCTAATGGAGGGAATATCCCTTACTTAAGGGGTTTCGGAGCCTCTGGATCACAGGGTTCTTCAAGGTTGCTTTCATTGTTCTGCCCACACACCCTCGGCTGCCTTTAAGGGGTTCTTGCCCAAATCCTGAACCCTGAGCCATCAAAGCCCTCAAAGCCCTGCTTTGTAGGTATCGTCCTAGCCATGCAAGAGGCAAAGAAGACACCTTAAACCCAACCACGAAAAAGCCGCGTCGATGACCCTGAACCTTCAAGCCTGAGTTTTGGATAAGGCTTGGATGCCAGACATGGCCTCTCCCCGGGCTTTCTCCCCGGGGCCTCCGCTGCTCGGACGGTGTCGTTTAGGGCTTAGGGCTCTGGTTTTTTCGGGAGATTCGAGAGCTTCAGGTTAGAAAAGGGCACGCTCAGTGGTCCGGATGACGTCCTCTGCGCAATCGTCAGGAGCACAGCGCAATGGTTGTGGTAACTTCCGGGGGAAGCCGCTCTCTTGGGTTGATACACCCACTAGAGCCTCAACTTCGAGTAAATCTCGGAATCAGTGCGTATAATCTGTGAGTCGAAGCGCCCTCCCTTCTGCTTGTGTGGCGAGCTCAGGTGCGCAGAAACAGAAACTAGAATCGGCATGTAGATTGGGAACGGAAGTAGCAAAAGGATAATGCTAGCCTGATGATGAAAAGAGGCGGACAGTCACATTACGGAGTATTGCGCCAACATCAGCGGCTACAGCATCAACGATATCACTCGTCATCGCCTTCATCCTCATCACCATCACCAACACCGTCACCTTGATGACCCGAATCACCACTCCACCTCCGCCCGCACCGGCACGGTCATCCTCAGCATCATCATTTGCATCCTCGCCGTCCTTAGGGTTTCAGTCATCTTCATCAACATCAAAACCATCATAACTATTACAACAATGACAACAGCTACAGCCCTCCCAGCCATCTCAACCATCGCCACCAGCGCCACCACCACAGCCTGCGTCGCCTACCAGTCATCATGATCATGATGATCATCATCATCATCATAATCATCCTCACCGTCTCCTTCTTCATGATCGTCACCTTTCTGTTGCCTGCCTGGCTGTTTGTCTGCCTGCGTGCCTGGCTGTCTGTCTGCCTGCCGGCCTGTCTGTCTGTCTGTGTCTGCCTGTGAGTCTAGCAGTTCGGCTCTACATTTCAGGAAAGTTTAGCCGCTCGGCTCTTGCTGCACTGGGACGGCCGCCAAACAGCCAAGGCAGTCCATCAGCTTTGCCCGGGCGCCGAGCATGGTGGCAGCAGCTCGGCAACAGCCTCCGGATGGCTTTGGCGAACGAGGGCCCGCGGCCGCGGTGGAGGTTCCATCAAGTTCCACCCCCTTAGAAACCCTGAAGCCCCCCCGGAGAGTGGCACGACTGCAAGAGACGGTGTACAGCAAGTTGGAAGGCAGCAGCAACGGCAACTGGCGGCGGCAAGACACCAAGTAGCAACTACAGCCAGCAGCAGAAACAACAATCGGAGCACTTACTTCTCGTCATCCCCATTCGCCTGTTTTCATATTCCTCGTTTGCAAGTGTGTTCATGCTTCCGGCCTCGTGAACACTACCGAAACTCACTCTAGACGCCCGTGGAACCGTTTCGTTCGATTTGCATCTGGCTGAGGCGTCGGGGTATTCCACAAGCGTGAGGACTTGAGCAGCTTGCTTTGCAGTTTAGAGTTTGGGCTGCCGAGCCGCCTCTGTGCTGCGACAACTGGTTATCGGTTACAGCCACCACCACCAGCAGCACCACCACTGTTTCTTCTAATCACACAATACAACACCGTGCCACCAGTACGACGACTTTGACGGCGATTGCAACTGCTTCCCTTCAACCTTTTGAGGTTGGTTTCCCTTAGTAAGCGCCGAAATTCCAGCAGCTGCAATACACATCCGGCCCTTCATGAACCCTGTTCTGGCAATCTTGGAAGCCGCTGCAGGTCTTGCGTTCCAATGCGTCCATAGATGGCGGGGGCATTCGCTCCAGAAATTGCGGCCTGGTCCAACTCCGAAAGTGCAAGAAGTCCAACTCTTACACTCCTACTCTTACTCCAACTGCTGCTGCTGCTGCTACTACTACTTACCAATATTACTCCTACTACCACAACCACTTGCCACTATCACCACCGCTACTGTTCCTGCCGCTGCCACTGCTATTGCCACTGCCACTGCTGCCTCTGCCACCACCACCACCGCCACCACGACGACGACGATGACGACGACGACTACTACTACTTCTGTTGCTGCTACTGCCACAGCTGCTGCTGCTTCTTCTCCTCGTACAACAACTGCGACTACAACTGCAACTGCAACAACAGCAACTACTAGCACCACCACCACGACGACTACGACGACTACGACGACTACGACGACGACCACTACTACTATTACAACGACAACAACAACAACAACAACTACTACTACTACTACTACTACTACTCCTCCTGCTACTCCTACCACTACTACTCCTACCACTACTACTCCTACCACTACTACTCCTACTACTACGACTGCTACTACTACTACTACTACTACTACTACTACTCCTGCTGCTGCTGCTGCTGCTGCTGCTACTACTACTACCACTACGACTACTACTGCCACTGCTACTACTACCACTGCTACTACTACCACTACTACTGCTGCTGCTGTAACTGCTACTACTACTACTACTACTACTACTACTAGTACTACTACTACTACTACTACTACTACTACTACTAGTACTACTAGTACTACTACTAGTACGACTGCTACTACGTCCACGACGTCGACTACTGCTGTTATTACCACTGCCACGATCACGACGACGACGACGACCACAGCTGCCTTTGCTTTCGGGGCTTCCTCTGCTTCCCTTGCGGCGGCTAGTGCTTCAACGGCACTGCCAACGGTGAATGTAAATCGTGCATCAGACATCACTGCTCACCCCCCAATCAAATTAGTTCGATCCCATAAGCTTTGCGGCATCTTTCGTTCTCAGCCTTTCGTCTCATCTACGAGAAGATGGCAACCCAGGGCAATTGGAGGCTTGTTAGTCATGTTGTCAGTTGATAGATAGAGGTCTCCATGTCCGTTTTCGCTGAACCTCAGGCAGCAATTTCATCCATGGTTCACATACGCCTGCCTGCGTGCATAGCCCCGCAAATTGTCATGTCGGGCATTGGGTAATCCAGGGCAGACTCCTCTTGAGCTGTAGACGGGTTAGCTCAGAGCCGGCTAACATTTCTCTACTGCGAAAATGGGTCTAGGCAGGACGCAGGGAAGGCTCGCAAATGAAACGGCCGGCGCCATTGCTTCCGATCTTGGGACGACCCGAGGCGCAGGGGGCGGGCCTGCTCTTCCTAGGAAGCCGGCATCATGCGCTGACTGCCGTGCCCTGATGTTCTCGTGTCCCTGTGGCGGTGGTTGTAGAGGTTGTAGCATCGTCGTGAAGGGACTGTTCTTGTTCTTGCTGTCGATTCGGCTGGTGATGACCGCGTTGATGGTGTTGACTTGTTGACTTGTAAGCAGATGATTGTGGCTGCTGGTGCTTGCGATGATGTTGGTGATCGTTGCTCCCAGTGGCTCATACTTTACCATGATGTATTCTTCTTCAGGTGGCAGTGGTTGTTGCAGTTGCCGCTGCTTCTGGAGATGAGGGTGGTGATGGTGGTGCGGTGGTGGTGTTCTTTGTGGTTGCAAGGACTATGCAGGTTCTAGTGGTGTTGATGATGATGGTGATGGTGGTGGTGGTGGTGACGATGAGGATGATGGCGGCGATGACGTTGTCATGCCGATGGGGGCAGCCCTAAGGATTGACCGGCCAAGCTCCTAAACCATAACCCCCGCATACTCGTCTGGCGGAGTCCGAGTTGCGAGAGCGTATCCCCAGTATAGGTAGTTGCGGTCTGTTCGCAACAAGGACGTGTGACTACACCTTATACTGCCCTATACCGAAGTCTTCGTTTGGAAGTCAGCGCTGCCGGATGTCCCAAGCGATGGGCACCGTCCCCGGATCGTTGACTGGGCTCTGCCAGGGAGGAGAGTTTAGGCTTTGAGGGTTGGGGCAGTTTGTACAGTGAGCTGCTACGACAAATCCTAGGTCTTGTGAAGGAAGCTGAGTTTAAGCTTGTAGGCTGTGAACTAAAGCCTGTGAACTGTAGTGGTCTTTGCTGAGTGCGGGGGGCTTCATCCAGGTGGGTCTGAATGTGCGAGGCAAGGAAATCACGACATGAGCCTGCACTTCCTTCGAAAGGCAGGACCCAGAGCAGAGGCTCCCTTGTCACAAGA